GGTAACGAAGAGGAGAACAGAAGTGGGGAGCCTCTACCGACTACAGGCCTCCTTATATACTATGGGGTACCGACCGTATTAGGAAGGGAAAGGTAACCGACCAAAGTGGGGAGGTATGAGGAGACTGTAAAGGAACGCGTCTGGTCGAGGCTGGGCCCAGTATAGTACAAGACCTAGGTCAGGGTCCTGTGATATAACCGAAAAGGGATAGAGACGGGACAGGGTCCTGAGTCTAGGTCAGGGTCGGGCAATATAACCGAAAAGGGAAAGGGGCGCGACAAGGGTCGGGGTCTGGGTCAGGGTAAAGTAATGTAACCGAAAAGGGAAATGGTCAGGGTCGGACTCAGGGTCCGGTCATATAGACGAAAGGGGAGATATTGAGGGAGAGGACCGGGGCTAGGAACATAGTCGTCAGGGGGCGGAACGGGGGATGATAGTGTACAGGCGGACGACGAGGGAACGGGAAGGTAAGCATAGGTCGCCGGGGACGGGAAGGGGAGTGGAGTGTACACGAGGGCGACGAGAAGGAGTAGTCCAATAACAAAAAGATAGGGGGTGGGGCGTACCAACGGTAACACACATGACTTGTAGACTGTGGGGCGCCCCAACACTTACCTGAGTGCAGTCGGAACGCAAAGTAGCTATGTATAGCCTTCTGAGCGACTGTCCGAACAACTATTGTTTTAGGGACTCACGTGTGAGCGATTGAGGTCACGAGCCCCTAGGAATGCAGACGTTACGATAGAGACAAGCGGTCAAAGTCTCGGGCGAAACATGAACTTACTACAAGACCCATTGGATCTGATAGTGACCGGTATCTGAGTATAGATTCCACATTTGCAAAGAGGTCACATCTTACCGAGATACCCCTGATGGCCGCCAGAATTCCTTTGAGCCCGATGGCAGTAGGAGGCTTCAAGCAAGGCTTACCATTTAGTGCTGAGTAAATCATCCCAACTCCCGAAATCGATGACGAAGGAAGTGTAGGCTGCAGCTACGGTAGCGATAAACTGGATCAAGTTGATGAACCTACAGATACAGATCAGCCTTCGGCATCGCAACCTCGGGACAAGTGAAAACGAGCTTACACCATGCTGGAGACCTATTGTCCGGCGCGCTCAGTCATCGATTATAAAGAGAATACACAGTAGACAAATCACCGTCATCAGAACCAAAGCCCCGCCCTTCTTTTCTCCGCGGAAATAGGACATTGCTTTCGTGCACACCATCCCAAAGGTGCTACCCAGAAGACGGTGAGCGCATGGAGACACAGATTTACATGGACGAGAAATCATTACAGTGAAGCTATGACCAGGCCGATGAGGAGAGCAGCCGAGGCCACCTTCAGATCCGTGATGTCACCCATCAATTCCTCCAAAGCCCAAGCGTCCGCCGAGCTCGGGCCCGGAGAGCTACTAGCGACCGCTGCTGTCGTGCGCACCACTGAGGTTTCTGTGGTACCTGTGCCGGTCGCGCTGAAACTGAAAGGAACGAAGGAGATAGGGGACGTCTGAATAGTCGCAGACATCTTGGACCAAGGTACGCTGGATGAGAGATGGCAGAGCTAGGAAGGTCGACGTTCACGCGTGAGCCCTAGAGGAAGAGAAGCTGACCGCTACCGCCCCGAAAACGCGCTTCGCTAGTACTTTATGGGTACGGCTAGTGGCGGTTAGCCTCGGACTGCGATCAGGGACTCGGGGGTTGGAGGCGTCGTGTGAAACAGAACTGCGATAACCATCGGTCATGAGACGATAGAAGACTGGTCGAAATACTGCGCAAGGCGTCACTGACGACATACTCTCACCTTCAAGCATGGTCTTTGGCAGATCGCCTTTCAAGCCATAGACTAACCTCTTGAGACTCCTGACATGCAACAGCAGCAGCGTTACGCAGTAATGACCCTCGCTACGTTGACTAACTCCCTTTTGTTCTGTTGAGACTCTTGCTTGGCCTTGCGCAGTCGATGGACACCTCTCGCAAGCGATTCAGAATTGGAGATCTTGGCTCCTCATTGGTGAAGAGCGGGCGAAACGCCAATTCAAAACCGCTATAACTAGCGAGAGGATTCTGATGTGTTACGGCGAGATGTGGGCTGGAATCCGGCCTCGTTGCCCGGGCTTCATGGCCTGTCTGGGAAAAGCGACTGAGTTTGTAGACTTGTACAAACTCTACGAATATTTATGTACTTGCATATCGGTATGCCCCTTCGAAACAAACACGCTCAAGTTGGTTGGGAGCCGAAACATGGGAGTTCAAGGCGCCTCAATGGCTCTCGGTGGTGCCCTCCAGCGTCTTGAGTGGCGGATCGGGCTCGCATTTTGGTCGGCTCGTCAACCGACCTGAGCGTGTTCTTTTCGAAAGGGCCTATCGATACGCAAACCGCTGCGACAATCCCATACTTCACTGCCCCGGTCCGTGACGGCGCGACCTTAGCGATAGAAGATATCGTCATAGGCTATGCTTCGTATATAGCGCACAGCATGGACAGGCAACGCCCGACGAGGTTGGGTACTAAAGATATCATGCCATACACCTTCGCCGCAGATTTCACACGCACCCTTGCGTTGCCCTCATGAAGGGCCTAGGAGGAAGCCTGCAGGAGCGAGTTCCAAACGTGAATAGTGTAAGTAGCCGTCGTATCCTCTTCCTCGAGGATACAGAGTATTTCCTATGTCGCCATCGTGCTTGCAATGAAGCCGGTGCAGCCTGAAAATATGTTCGTGAGTATCCATCAACGCGGATCACTGCGCCTCCCAACATTCATCGGTTTTATGTCGCCTGAGTAAATTGCGGTGAACCTCGCGACTTGTTGTAATATTAGCACAGTTACAGCTCACAACGACGTATGCACGCACCGTGGCACGTCCCCTCGTGGAACGTCCGAGCATATTCTTACGTCACCCCCGCCGTAAGGCGTTGCGGAAAGCGTTTGGTCTACGACAGCTGCGCGTCCGAATGTATGTCTGACCTTGTCTGTATCCAGAGTTTGTAGCCGAGACGCGATCCAGAACGGACGTAGTAAACAACGCTAGCGCCGAGGCCGAGGAGGACTTCTATTAGCGAGCGCACAGCGCCCTTATGTTATTTTTGACAAGCGAGCTGCGGTGCCCGGGCGGGCGTGAGTTCGTACGATTGTGGCGCGAGGATCGTGATGAATTCTAAGCATGCTGGCCCTACCAGCACCATAACCTGAGCGGTCAGCTTGAAACGATGCCGGCAGGTGGACGTCGACGTCAGAGAGCGCTAGCATTCGACACGGCCAGGCAAGGGGACGGCAGGGTCGTAGAGGCTGTTCGGGACAGCTGTGTATAAGCAGTCGGCTGGAGGTTCGCAGCAAGCGTGGGCAACGTGCAAATGGTCTGAGGACACGAAGCATGGTCTGTTCTAAATATTGTGCTTATATAACCGGGCGCTACGGTGGCTGGGAGGAGTAGCTGTCCCGATCAGGGAACGCGACACTTTTAGATCCTCTCGCTCTTCAACGTCACGACACCGACTCGCTCTCTTGCCGACGATACGCTCTTTACCCGCCTTCCCTTCTCTCCCCCCTCCTCCCACTCGACAGTCCCCAAAATTCCTGTCATTCCCATTGCTGATTATACACCAAGTCGTGCTTGCCAGCCTCCATGACGTCCTCGACGACGACTGCTACTACTACTCTCTTCGTGCTCCTTCTTTGCGCACCCGCGCTCTCCCGAGCGGATTATCCTGACCAGGTCCGGACCCCGAGCCCTCTCTGGCGACGCGCTTCAAGTTCAAGTCCCCCAAGATCGGTGCCCCCCGCTGGTTTCTACAACCCCAATGACTCTGGAGGAAAGATGCTGACGGTGAGTAGCGCTCCCTGTCTCACGCCGGCCGGCTAACCGGGGACTGACGACGACTCGCGGGCAATTCAAAGGTCGCACCCAACACGGGTGGACTCGGAGAGCCGCTCAATATCATCGTTTCCGGAAATTCTGACGAGACGGTGCTCGTTGATTCTGAGGATAATGGGGGCTTCCGGAATTACATGATGTGAGCGGTCCTTTCCGGCGAGTGTTTCGGGTGGGCGAGCTTGACGCGTCTGTGTCACATGCAGCTCAGTTGGGTTCGCGGCAGAGTGTCTTGGACAGCACGAAGGGGATGCACAGACGGCGAACCTTGGGGACGGCAATGGACAGCGTATGTTTAATGTTGATCTGGGCGTCTTCCGCTGGTAGGCTGATGGTGTTTTGTCTATACAGTGAATGAGACTTCGGAGCTGCGCTGGGACTATGGCGACCCCCAACTAGGAACGTGTCAGGAGACCATAGACGGCGGTAACCATTTCCGGTACTGGATCCAAGATGGGCCTAGTGCGAACAGGTGCGGGAATTCATGTGAGACGGAGGGAATTGAGACTAAGCTGGTTTCAGTGGCGCGTTCTTTTTGGCCACCTCTTACGAGTTGCCTATTCAGAGTACGTGATTCCTTTCGCAGGCCTTCCTGTTGCTATGTGGTATTGACTGTGCGTGAAGCGGGTCATGATATTTTATTCGATGGGTGCGCTCAATTGATTCTCTTGATGCTTCACGAACACAACACTGACATCGAAATGCTAGATACAACCTTGGCCGGTGAGGATTATCCCCTTCACTGCCATGCGCTTTTGGTGCTTATTCAGAATGTCCATAGCGACTGGCTTGTTGGGAATGCTACAGCTCAGTCATCGATAATCCCTACAGCCAACCTCACGAACGGTACAACATTCTCCGGCCAGACCTCGTTTGGTGGCTACACCTACAGTACCGACGCACTCTACTTATCTGGGATCTTGTCGAATTCTACCGATGGCCTGAATCACGCGTCCTCCGTTGGGGGAAATGGGGTTGAGGCCCTTGATGGACTTGTCGCCGTGCTGACCGTCAAAGTCGTGTCAAGCCCCTCAGCAACAGCATCGTGCGTACCCTCGTCTGTCAACATCTTACGCGCATCTCCACAGACTAATCGATCTGTCTGACGCACAGTGGCGCGCGGCCGTCCATATCCACTGTCCCGTGGTGGTCTCTCAGCGCGACGCTCCTCCTCACTTCATTAGCGCTATCAAGTTCCCTGCTGCTGTCACCGTCAGCATAGACTGCCCTTGCCTCAATTTCTCGCTAGTTCAAGCTTTATATACGCCCGCACTTCCGCACTATCGCCCTGGGGGCGCACCCTACGGAAGTCAACGCATACGTACCATCCCCCACAAGCCACTCCGGACCTTCCTAGCTACTTGCTTCAACCACGTTCATGCACATGGAGGACCGTCACGCCCGCCGCGGCGCCGTTACCTTTGCTCTGCTCTATACCCGGACAGTTGCACTCGCCTAGACTTCGATCCACGACGGTTTGCAGCGGTACCCGTCAGCTGGCTCCTCGCGCTACCTTCTCGATCTCCGCTTTCTTGTCGCATTCAGTCACTTATTGATCTCCCACCCACGACCTCTCATGACGTACTCTGCCTGTATACAACGGACGCCCGATTTTGGGAATTGCTCTGATAGTGGAAGCGAGTCGCTGTGCGTCTCGCGAGTCTGGCTCACACAAGGCATGCACGGGTCACAAAGTAAGAGGGTGCGTTCATGGATGCCGTTTTACGACTTGGTGCTGACCTATGATGGCCTGTAGTCTGGTATCGGTGCTGGGTGTCGTATGGGCTCGGTCCGGATTGGACGCCGGCAACCATAAGCTGTGTCCTACTGTATTGCCATTTCCAAAGACAGATAAGCATCGCGATCCCACCACCTGTCAAGAGGTTGATTACATGGCTGGACCTCGTTGCGTCCGGGGCCCGGCCTAGGAGGTCTAGAACAGTCTGCTGTGAAGCATGCTACATGCTACGACCGCCTGGAGTACCACCGACGGCCTTCACAGGCGGTCGTGAGTAGTCGTAAGTTTCCTGAGGTTTCTGTAGGTTCACTTCTCGGTATGTGAAGCCTACAGCGCATGTGCGAGGTGGTGAGTGGCCCATAGAAATAGTCTGAGGACGGAATCGGGACGGGATCTCGATTGGGGAGAGATCTGATCTAGTAGGCACTGCCAGTAACGTCAAACGGCGTCATCGCTGACTGGTCCCAGCCTATCGCCGTCAACGAGACCCACCCAGCCCATGGGCCGTTCCTCTGAGCTTAAGGCGTTCCCCCCGGTCCAGTCCCGTCGGCGCTCCTTAAGCTTCGCCTACTGCAGTATATAACTTGTAGTGCTAGCCCCGATACGACAATCCACATCCCCTCTCAACGCACTCAACAACTCCTCTTCTCCATTCGCTATGACCACTCAGGCCGTCGCGTCGCTACAGGCCGAGGTCAACAAGCTACGCCATGAACTCCAGACCCTCAAGGTCGGCGGCGAGTCTTCCTCCCTCGCGGACGAGACCTTGTACGTCGGCCAGTACCTCGTAGAGCGGCTGGCGCAGCTCGGTGTTACGGTATGTACCACAGCATAGCGCTTCCGTGCATATCAGAGTGGTAAGTTCTGACCCAGGTCCGTTGATGGCAGAAAATGTTTGGGGTTCCCGGAGATTTCAACCTAGGTGCGTCATGCCGATCTGGGACCATCGTCGCATCTGCTGATCTTCTCCATTGTAACAGGCTTCCTTGTGCGTCGATACATGCGTCATGGCACGCATATCGCTCCTAATCTTGGTGCAACTGTAGGACTTCGTCGAAGACCACCCGAAGATTGACTGGGTCGGCAACTGGTGCGTTGCGGTGTATCTATAGGGCCAAAATTCGACTCGTGCTGATCATGATCTGCATTAAGCAATGAGTTGAACGCAGCCTATGCCGCTGACGGCTATGCCCGCGTTCACGATGGCAAACTCGGCGTCCTCACCACGACGTTCGGTGTCGGTGAGCTCAGTGCCATGAACGGTATCGCGGGTGGTAAGTACATGCACGCCACCTGACGATCCCGGCGCTGATTTACGACTATATGCGCTCAGCTTTCTCCGAGCATGTGCCTGTGCTTCACATAGTCGGTGTTCCCAGCACCGGTCAGCAGAAGGCAAAGCCCATGCTGCATCACACCCTTGGCGACGGCCGGTACGTACGACTCGAGGCGCATATAGCTACCCCACTAAGCTTTTGTCACCCATGCTCATAGGTTTGACGCATACTACAAGGTTGCGCAAGAAATCACGATCTCACAAGCCACCTTGACCTCCAAAGAGAATGCTGCCGCCGAGATTGACCGTGTCATCACAGATTGTCTTGTTCTAGTGCGTACACATACTTCCACTGATTTGAGTTGTGGGACTGAATCTCGATGCCGGCACATAGGCGCGCCCTGTATACCTCATGCTACCGACCGATCTCGCTTATGAGCGTATTCCTTCGGCCCGTCTGAAGACGCCCCTCAACACCCAGCCGCCAGAAAACGACCCGGATGTGGAAAACTTCGTGCTCGACGAGATCGTCAAGCTGGTAGACGAGGCTCAGAATGACGTCATCATCCTCGTCGATGCCTGCGCCATACGACACGGCGTGAAGAACGAGGTCAAGGAGTTGTATGAGCGGACTGGCTACCCGGTATACGCTGCACCTATGGGCAAGACCGCCGTGGATGAGTCCTACGAACGCTACGGAGGGGTGAGTAGCATTGATACTGAAGAACTATCTATTTCTCATCGTGCACCGCAGATATACGTTGGCTCCATCTCCCACGACGCGATCAAGGAGAAGGTTGAGAACGCGAAGCTTATCCTTTCCATCGGGGCGCTCAAGAGCGACTTCAACACCGGTAACTTCACCTACCACATACCCGTCACACGGACAGTCGAGGTGCGTTATCTGTCTTCATTGTTCTTCGCGAGACGTCAATTGAAAGTCTCGTTCCATGAAGTTCCACTCTGATCACACGCGCGTGCAATTTGCGGGCTTCCCTGGTATCGGCATGAAGCGTCTCTTGCCGAAGCTCACCCAGCGCCTGCAACCCTTCAAGGAGGGCGCAGTCGGATTAGAGGTGGGGAAGTACATACCCGAAATCCCGAAGGAGGATACCGATGAGATCACACAAACTTACTTGTGGCCGCGCGTGGGCAAATTCTTCAAGTCGAACGATGTCATCGTAGCTGAGACTGGTGAGTGCTCTCTTGGGACAGTTGGAAGATGCACGTGCTGACGAGAGCTTGCTCAGGTACCTCAAGTTTCGGCATCCTTGACATACCGCTGCCGGCCGGCGCGACGTTCCTCAGCCAGATCCTGTGGGGCAGCATCGGGTGGACTGTTGGCAGCACCCTGGGTGCGGCATACGCCGCGCAGGACCGTGGCCTTGGTCGCACCATCCTCTTTATCGGCGACGGTAGCTTGTGAGTCTGTTCGTCTGATGATCATCAGGTGGAAGCTAAAACCTCTCGGTTGCCTGCCTAGGCAATTGACGGTGCAGGAGCTGTCCGTCATGATACACCGTGGCCTGAAGCCGATCATCTTCGTGCTCAACAACAGCGGGTACACGATCGAGCGATACCTGCACGGCATGGACCGCAAGTACAACGACATTAACAATTGGTGCGTCTGGCTCCATCTTTCTCTGCATCTGGTACACAACGGAATACTGACGTTCGCGTACACCTCTGTAGGAGATGGACGAAGCTGCTGGAGACGTTCGGCGGCGAAGAGGGCAAGACCGTCAAGTCGTACCAGGTCCGCACCAAGCAGGAGCTCTCCGACCTGCTAGACGACCAGACGTTCGACAGCGCGGAGGTCATCCAGCTCGTGGAGATGATCATGCCCCAGAAGGACGCGCCGCGCGCGCTCAAGGTCCAGGCGGAGCTCAGCGGGAAGTCGAACCGCTATGCCGCGGAGATCCTCACTGAGACCGTCAGGCTCAAGTAGAGGGATACGCGTGGCAGTCGGTGGGCTCGGCGGGTACGGGGAGATCGGGTTGGGGAAGTGAGGAAGCCAAGTTGCTCTGGGGGCGTGGGGGCCTCATGACGGAAAAGACGAAAATCGCTGTGATGCGCTGTTCCTCAAGTGTTATTGTACGTCGCAATCGGACTCAACTATGTATTCGTATGCATGCCTCTAGACAATTTCTGCAATCGTGATGTATGGAATGCATAGATCCCGAGTGTGCCAAATGGCTTACAATCACTCCCATCCTTGAAGGCAGACAATTTCCACTTGATCATCTAGTCTCAAACTCCTGCTATTAGGCCTGGGCAGCAAAGACGGGACATGCACCAAAACGATCTATAACAGGCTCCAATACGCAACCTTCAAGCTCTCCATTACAAGATAGTCACTAATACCAGCTCAATTGAAATTTCGGGAGCAAACCCGTCCACTGGCAACCAAGCCTCAAGCGTCAGGCCCGGACTCATTGTCAAACAGCTTCCGTCGTCGCATCTGATGTCATCTTATGCTCGAACGCCGACTCGCATTCCTCGATCGTGAGTCTCGGGAATCCGAGTCTGTGGGTAGGAGGATGCTCTAAAGAGCGTAACTGCGAGGCCACAGCAACACACCATGTAAGTGATCAGCCAGGTTCAGCAGAGGTGGTTCGAAGAACAGCTGAAAGCTCACAGCGCTGACCCCTAGTGTACCTGTCCGAGTCGTCGGCGAAGTGTCGGTCCCGCGATGACCGGGGACGGTGATTTGAAGATCGCTGAGGCCGAAGGTGCCCAGCTCGCGCGTCTCGTTCGCGAGCTTGGCCAACGATTTCCTGGAATTGAGCCTGTCGGGATGTTACCGGAAACTCGCATCAGCAGTGACTGCTCCCAGGAAGAACGTACACAGTGAGCATTGCGATTGAGTAGGCTGCAGAATGATGGGTTGACATATCCACAGCTGCAAGATACGCGACACCTACTCCGTGCGCCTGGGATGCCCATCCCGATCCAGAACAAGCTGTTTGGACTGGCAATTATCTGGGAAACAAGCCAATCAGTACGAGATACTGGGAACTGGGGAAGCAAGCAGGCGCAAACGTACGAAAATGAGAGTCAAAGCATTCGCAATGCTTAGAAGATGGCACGCGCGTCAGCAATAGCTTTTGGTAGATCTTGGCGCCTTGGGTGTGTTTGCATTACCTCGTTAAAACGCCTGCACATGCATATGGTTGTGAGATTTCTTTGCTCCTAGGACTATGGCTGCTTACATGTGTTTACGGTGTAGGTTATCAAAACGTCTAGCAGGGATTCCGTCCTACAGCAGCGATCATCAAAATTGGAAGGCGGCGGGGAAGGATTTCAAAGACTCGGCCATACTGTGTTGTCGTTCCCGTACGACTCTTATGGAGAATAACGACGAGGGCACCCGCTAGCATTGTATCCACTACCAGGGAAATTACGAGAAAGATGACATCGATCCACTGAGAGACGAAAGGCTGACTCGCATCATGGTCACCACGATGAATGAATGGCAAGGGAGCGTACCGCATAATGTTTCCATCTCACAAACGTGACTACTATGGTCCTGACAGGGGGCTGAGATGTCGAAATGTGTTGATACTCTTTCCACTTACTCTTGGACTGCGGCGGCTTAAATTGGATATCAGCTTTTTTGTTCCAACTCCCAGTACTCACTTTACTCACTGATGACCAAGCCTTAGGGTCATGATAAGGGCGTGTTTAACAATCGCACGGGACTCGTAGAGGATAGCGAATCCACCTAGTTCTGCCAGTAAAAGTGGTGCCTATGATCCGCGTCACAGTGAAGTGTTACTGTTCATTGAGTCAAGCAACTTACTAAGAACATGACGAGATATTTGTAGTAGGCTGGTACGACTGCAGGACCTCAGCCGGGGATATACCACGCCACGCAGACTTCCACTACTCACATCTAGATATCCGTAGACAATAGAACCTTAGTAAGAGGAGCGATAATCAACACATATACGAGATGAGATATCACGAAGGCTCAACTGACGACTGCACGATGATGATGATTATACCCTGCGATTTCCTTCAGTCGCAGGTCTTCGGCTCAAGATATAGCTGTACGTACATATGTGACGCCAAGGAGCTAAATAAGGTAGATTACGGCGGTCAGTTTGCGCTGCGCTAGCAGGAAGGGATGTGCTGACCCTGATTGACCTATGCCATAGGCTCGCAATGTGGGAGCAATAGCTGACTGACAAAAAAATGTGCTTACCATACTCCATACAACATAGCCTTAGGGTCGAAGTAGTACGAGGCAAGATAGTAGTAGCTATATCATTCCGAGTCAGCTAAGAGAGTGAGAGAAACTACATCACAACGAATGCGTACCAAGTATGACTAGCTTCGACCATGTGCATTGTGTCCAAGAGTCTAGTCGATTGGTCAACACATTGCTTTTGAGGAGGCTAATATGGCTGTAGCTTACAACAACACTGCTATCTGAAGCGTTGAACGCCATCAGCAGCTATCCCGGGACTAAAATAGGCGAGCCATACCGTGACTTTCAGTCGCCACGAATCCGTCGGGTATAGCCTGAAATACCGTAATGCTTGCTGAAGTGACATGCCATACATGCTATGCAACAGCCGCGTCAAGGCGAGTGGCAACGAGACATAGCGACTTCACATACACTAGACCAACAAATGTGCCAATCAACACTGAACCGAAGGTATCGTCAATCCGAGGATGTGCCGCCATCGTTGACGGTTGAAGGAACGTCCTGGCAGCCTGGAAGTCGGAGCATACCATGCAGGCCATGTGGCTGTACTTCCTAGAACATCAATAGAGTCCGAGTCGCGGTCCGGGAAGACAGCAACGCACAATGACAGACGTTACTCTTTCCTGCGAATTGGATCGGGAGGTCAAGCAGGCGATTGTCTCTCCCAACCGAGAGCGCACGGCCGCCTACAGCTCGTGCTCGAATTGCGTGTCTGGCTCGGCTCCGAGCGAACACAAGTGGAGGGGTTCGGTCGTCGAAGACCACGCAAGCCAAGGAGCGGTGAGAGGTGCGAATGATCCGTTCTGGGCGCGATCAAGCAAGGCCACAGATAGATGCGCCGAAGGAACGCAGGGCCGAGGTGGGAGAGTCACAGTGGGGTATATATTCAGACAGGGCGCCTGCATCCTAGGACCCCGTACAACCCGGTCCTCAATCCCGTCTTGAGAAATTACGACGCAAGGACGATGTCAGAACATAACCAATTGCGGATCCCCAGGGAGGATTAGTAGGATTCACAGCCTCCGGACGCGATAAAGCCGGGGAAAGGGGGACGTGAGGCGGCGCGGCTGAAGCCTTTTCAAGTATGGACGTAGCCTTCGTTCGCCCAGACCGACCGGCATTGCACCTACTAATTAATCACAAACCGCGCACTGCATGGTAAGACATACTATAGTCAATTTTACGGGCCGATATCATGGAGGTGAGCGTAGGGTGACAGTTTTACTCCATCACAAGTCAGTGGCAGAGACATGCTGTGAGGCGCATGATGCTACTGGTTTGTGGATGTGTGTGGCAGGATTGAGTGATCGATAGTCGATTGCTGGCTTGAGTGGGTGGGCAATGTTGTGAGATACACAGATAGCAAATAGCATATCATTGGCTCCTCGCTCATGCGCGCCCTCTTCAATCTGCTCAGCGCTGCCCATCTTGACGCAAGTCACAGGAAGTTCAGATGGTGGCATCTATGTGCGCATTTTGGGATGTAAACCTACGGAGCCGAGATATCAGGACATACCTTCTGTGTACTCGTATGGAGATCCTCCACGCTCGCCTGCAACGCAGCTGAAGCTAGTTTGTACTCCGCCAACAAGTCATACGCCGCCAGAGACGATGCAAGTGAGAATCCAAACAGAAAGCCAACAATCCTATAGCCTCCCTCGTGTCACCGGACGTCATCTCTCAGGAATACGTGGCCTTCAACGCATCCTCCGCGGAATGCACCAATACGCTTCTTAGCTGGGGGGACTGAGCCCCAGTTGGGGGACGCCTCCTCACGCACAGCCCGAGTGGCTGAGAGGGAGCGGTTAGCAATGCGCGGCCGTGTTGTCCTAGCCGGAGAGAAAGAGCGTGAGGCGGGCCTGGAGGATATGGTAGAGGACATAGGTGTGTTGCACTCGATAGGCCAGTCGCGATGTCCCGTGTGGACGCCACAAGCACACGCGCCTATGACCCGATCCGGAACGAGCGCTCTCAGTATGTGCTAGCGCTGTGATGACTTTGCCTCTGACACTAAGTATGTACACTGCATTCCCTGGTATGTATCTTCCTGCGTCTTCCGCATTGCAGACTCCTTACGTGCCGCCACCTAGACACTGTCTCTGCAGCAGGTCTGACAAGATCCCGTTCTGTTCAAGCTGAAGCTGTGATATTCGGTGTGCTCTCCACAGAAGGGAACGGGGAACTCTCGGAAGGGTTGTCAATCCTGCACGCCCTTACTGGCGCTCGTCTGCTCCGTGGACGTCGCCTCTAACACGATTGCAGCAGTGCAGCAGCACGAACCCAAGCGCACACACAAAACTCGGACATGAAGATGATGCCCGCCCGCCCGCCCATGCATCCAGATCCCAGTCCCTCGAACACTGCCAGCGCAGCCTCTGACCACACCATTCCCCAAGGGATATGGGATAGAATTACGTAGTTCACCGAAATCGAATATGAGGAGGCCGCAGTCCCGAGTCATTGCCTACTCCGCCGCGACAAAGGATATCTGCCTAGTTACCTCGTTAACAAAGTTTCGCAGGACGTCTTCCTTCCAGTTGTCCGCCGCCTGACCCGGGTCAGATCAGCAGCCACAAGTGTAGCCTGCACTGCACCTCTCACCTGGAGCTGAATCGAGAGCTTTCCTTGCATGGACCATGCATGTATACCCCTGCACACCAACGGGTCAGCTGAGCTTGCGAGTGCGCTATCTTCCATTCTAAGAGAATAACAGGTGTGGATGGCTGGCTACTCACGGCATAGGCCAAGTCAATCGACATGTGAGATGCATCTGTTCAACCCTGAACACTGGCACCTCCCCAGGCTTGACGTCCCTTGGCCACACAGGCGCGATATAATTCTCCACCCGGCCTACGTTCGTCACGTTCGTCGCAAACGGGCTCCGGCTGGGAGGCGAAGCCGTCTTCATGGGCGCAAGCCTGGCGAGCTCGGCCGCCAAATGTGGGAGACACGGGTTTGCGAGCCAGTCATCGTACTGCTCCTTCGCCTGCTTCATTGCGGCGAGCAGACGTGGTTTTCCCGTTAACTTGGCAAGGGGCGCGTAGTAGATCGCGAGAGGCGCATTGACCATGCAGGAGACTATGTGTCTCCGGCGATCGATGTTGGGCGGAAGGCGGTCGTTGATAGCGATACTGTGGTATTGATGGATTGAAGTCAGTATACGATACTCGAGGAGAGCGTAGAGGCGAGATCGGGAAGGCAACGTACAGGCCGCCGACATCGATGTGAGCGCCCTCGAGTTCGTTGTCTGGAATGGGGTTGAGCTCGAGCGTGGCAAGCGCGGTGGCAGCATCAATGAGCTCGGAGAATGTGAAACCCAGGGTCTTGAGAGCTTGGGCGATCTTCGCAGACTCTTGCGCGGTAAATGTTACCACGAATCGCTGCAATTTCCCGGGATTTCTCAGCTCAAGGGTATCGCAGGCGAGGCTGTGAGAAGGCTATATGGAATCGCGTTAGTAGAGCGGGTGAGCGGTGAGCACAACCGAGCAGCCTTGTAAGCCATACCTTGGGTTTTGCGAAGAAAGCCTGGAACTTCTCAAGCATAGCCGGCCCATGGACCTCCCAGTCTTTATGAGGACCGCCGGTCGCCGTGACCACGCCCGGTAGGAGATTCTTGTGCTCCGTGCCCCATGGGAGATCAGCAACATCAATCAGGCCCGGAGTAGACATATACTCTAGAAGTAGGGAGAGGACGTTGAGGCTCGGTTTCGCGTCCATGATAGCGTGCGAAGTGTGGAGGAAGAGGCAGAACGTGTTCAGGGTACCATCTGGACGCGTAACGAAGACACGAAGGTACTGCTCCGTTCCATCCGCAAGGGTGTAAGGAATCTTCTTCTCGACCAAAACCTGGAGGAATGACGCAGGGTCGATCGAGTCGGGAAGGTAGTAGACCATCTTGTCGGCCCAGCTGCGCACTTGTTCTACGTTCTCCACAGGAGCATATATCCAAGACCGAAGGTCAGGATCGTGAACGCCTGCCTCGAATGTGGCTCCTACAAGCGGGCACTCAAACCTTGTCGCCCGGTCAGATCAGTGCTCTATGCCAACCCTCGGGGCACTCACCGTAGCCTGCTTACAGCTTCCTTGACACGCGCCTCCAGCTCATCTTTCGGGATGGAGGTAGTAAACTGAACGCCTGAGGCAAACTGCGAGATGCTATGATGTACCTTCCCTCAGCGGACTCGGCAGGTGAGACTATAGTTAGCTTCTTCATTCTTACCCGTCCATCAGGAGCATAGTCTGATCACACCAATGTTCTGATGCAAGGAGCGGGCTGGGATGTTCAGGTGAGCTGAGAACATTCCACTTCCGACGAACTTGAAATCGATGGGACATACCGAGTGTATACTTCGGTTGCTTGTGGTGAAAGGATACGCTTCTCCCATTGTGGCTCAGCTTCAGACATATCGGGAGGTGGCAGGAATGACTATACGTCGATGAAGTTCGTGACTTTGGTTGGGATGATCTGAATCGCAAACTTCAAGGAAGCCGCTCAGAATACATACTACATAAAGCGTCTGTTTCGCTGCCGAAACGGGCACAAGCGGAGCCGTATTATGACTCCACAGCGAAAGGTGAAGGAGAACCTTGCGTAGACAACCCATCTGCTTACCCAACGTCTCGGGGTTGTACTGGCAGTGGATATGGACATCATGGAGGTGAAAAGGTTAGAAAGAATGCTGTGTGACATAACACCTTCAGAGTCGCATGAACACCATCGCGATAGGAACGACGCTAGACAGGCGCCTGTGATGGCCACCTCAGATTTAGACCAGTACTGTGACTCGTGAGGACCACCGAAACGCGCTTTCTCGGCTAGCTGTAGGCAGAAGACAAGTGCGCCAGTGGCTATGGTGCTTGGTTTCATGCGCATCACGAAAATGTGGGTTCATATGCTATATAACGAGAACGTAGGTCTCGTGGGGTGCACTATCTAGAAACGTGGAAACATAAGATACCACGGTACATCTAACTATATGTAGAACGTCAGCGGATAATTATACTCGTACAGTATTATGTAGGATCAAACTGAAGCCAAGAAACGAGACTCGAGATAAGCGGACCTGTACGTAGATGGACGATGCTGGGCGAATAGGCACATAGGGCCGAGTCATGGGGGGACATATGGGTATCGAGCGAGTCCAAACAAAAACGGGAACACAGATCCGGAGTATATGTAAAGGGATACAAGTCCATCGTATGAGGACGTCCACAGGGTATGTGGAAATGCGGCCAGGGATGCAAGTCTGGGTATACGGATGTAAATCCTGAGTGGATGCGATTGTATGCGTGTACGCGAGCGGGTCCCCAAACGGGAACACAGATTCGAGGGTATAGGGATACAAGTCCGTCGCATAGAAGTTGGATCCTAGGTACGACGAAATGTGTCCATGGGGTATGTGGAAATGCGGCCGAGAGAAGAACGCAGGCACCGAACCGGATGCATGGCTTTGTTGGGTACAAGGCAAGGGAAACCCAGAACCAAGAGGTGATGTGCGGCAAGTGGAGGCGTCGGGTAAGGGCGTCGATGACGGGCCAGCTGAGGAGAGCAGTCGTTGTCGACTGTCGACTACTCTCCTCACCTAGCAATGGCCACCGAACGGCCCTCAATAGGGGCCACAGACCAGCTGTCCTTGCCATCGAAGCTTCACTGGAGTAGGAGGCACCGCCCGAGCATGGCTGCGACCTGATCAGATCCGAACGCAGACAGGCGTCGTAGGAGGAAGCCCCCGGGTGTCGGCTACCCGGAGGTTCCAGGCGACGCAGGTCTTGCCATTCGATACCTGTCCCAGGTTGCGGCAGCACGTCGACATCGTCCGCGGGCGTCGAGGCTGGGATAGCCTACGGGTCTAATACGAGGGAGGGGCCGAGTAGACTGTTGATCAGGAGGACGTCTCCTCCATCTTCGAGGAATAGATTGATCAGTGAACGCGCGCGAGACGAAGGATAATCCGACAAACCTCAACAGTGCGATACTCTAGTGGGGTTGAGTAGACTGTTGGTCCGGAGGACGTCTCCTCCATCTGCGAGGACAACTGCGTCAGCGAACTCGCGCAAACCGAAGGATAATATACACCAACCTCAACAGTCTGGCACTCATGGGGCCGA